AGAAGCATAACTTCGTGCGTTCGCGAAAAAATTGCTTAGCCGCGCTATGCCTTATTGAGATATGACGAATATCGAAATTCGCATTAACTACGATTGTGTGATCCAACTGATATGATCGCGCATTGTTAGATATCGTACTTCCAATATTTGCTTACTGAATTAGCTCGGAACTGACGAAAATACACGCGAGAACACAAAGCGATCGCAATACAACAAGTAAAACATCAACATAACGGACGCGAACGATCTCTCGACAAATATCATAGGCAAGCAAGATTACCTGTCTTGATTCATCCATCGTGATGTACCAACGCGATTGTCCGTTGCTAGATTCGATGATCCCGAGATTCATTCGTACGCGGAATTCACTTGGGAAGGGTAAAAAAACGCGATGAACGCGAGGCGGTTGCAATTCGACTGTACACCAACGATCCGTGACGCGAACTGATTGGTAATTTCGAAACTTGATCAAGTGCCTAATTTCATACGTTTGCAAAACGCGCGAAAATTCTTTAGCCGCGCGACATCTATTGAGACATGAATATCGCGATACGCATTAATTACGATTGCGTTATGCAACAGATAGATTAAGATAATCACATTCGTTATTAGATTCAATACTTGTAACACTTATTATTTTTACGCGCGGAGACGGATAACAAGACACGAACGGTTATTTTAGGTTACATGATGACCAACTGACAATGCGAAGAGAATAGAAGTGTCAATATTCAGTCAGGTGTCCCACCTGACTTAATACGGTTCAAAAGGCGGTCAATTTAAATATTAATGAGAATATTAAAATCATTGAGATAGCTAAATTAAATTAAAAGGTTGAATTATATACTCATATTCAGACTTATATTCACTTGACGTTTACCCTTAACAAGTCGCAGCTCGTAAAATGTGCAGCATAGATTTTACTCCGAAATAAAAATCCGATATGAACATTGACGATAAATTATATGATAAATTAATGTCATAATTACAATAATTTTAAGAATATTTGGAAAATTACTTGAACAATTTTGCGTGCTCTTGTAAACTCTTGTAAAAAAGTCATTCGATCTATCTTTATATTCATGGCATATTTATAGCTACAGATTAGAAGATTCTTGTTATCATGCCGTTATCTGTCACTAAAAGTCTATAAACTTCTAGGTTTACCTTAATGACACTGTTGTTGCTAAGAGATCATATTATATCCATTTCATAATCAAAGCTATAATTACCTGCCTAAAAGAAAGAAAATAATGTACTAAAAAATATACCATAGAAATACTAACTTTTGGTATTTGCTCCGCTTTTCTTTTTTTTTATTAACTCTAAACATATCTAAAGTTGAATAAGCAAGAATTCTTAAGAAAACTATTAATATGAAAATTCTTTAGTTGTACCAAATAATTATGCTTCCATACATTATACCATATACGTGCCTCATCGTAGGATTATCATTCTTGTTTTTTGAATTGGTGCCAACAGCATTAACGGGCTACAACTGGTTGTGAACTGTCGACGAGATTATCGCTGTTGCTGAAGTCATCCAAGTTATTCTGAGAATATTTTATGCGTTTTTTATGCGTTGTATTATTGAAATATACCTGTAAAAATTCTATGGGTTATTATAAATGTCATATCAAGAAATAAAAACATTACATCATTATATAAAATATATCAGTTATATTAAGCAAAACATTTTAAATACTGTTTACAAATATGTGTTCAATAATAATTTTATTATATCCTACAAACATTATTTTTTCGTTATATACTAAATAATTGATCTCAGTTTATCAATATTAACTCTTCCTATAGATCATAATTTTCTTTAAACAATAATTGTTTCAAATTTTTTTAAAGAAAGCTTACTTTTCCTATAATTTCCTTCAAATTTTTTCAAAATAGAACAATTATTTTAATTCCAAAAATTTTACTTTGCCCAAAAGACGCATGTTACATCTTTGAGAAATAAAAAGTTAGGAGAGAGATAATAGTAGTGGTGATGAGGGCAGAGAAATATTCTTTTCAGGCTGATTAACATTTCGTGCCACTTCATATATTTAAAATGCAAATCCATATGTCAAATAAATCTCTGGTATTCAGTTCGAGCAAAAATCTACGAAAGAGAAAAGGAGAGAGTTTTTGTTCTCTTTTTTTTCTGCTTCTGCGATGTGCCTTCAAATCCTGCATTATTTGTTTCTTCGCCCAGAAACGTCGCTATTTCCTACATCAGACGTTGTCAAGCGATATAATCGATTTAACGGGTCGGTTTGATTGGCAGTGGAAGGTACAATCGACTCTGTAATTTTTACTGCGCAGGTTGTTACATAAGTCTCTCATTTAAATATTAATCACTTCTTCAGACAACTGATTCTTTTCAAGACACAGTCAATAGAATGCACGCCATTCACATCTATAATTATTGTCCCAAAAAGTATGTAATCAAAATGATTTATTCTACGTACACCTTTAATGTGTTTTTTTCACAATGATTCATCTTCCCGGTTGTACCGCAATTTACTGAAACAAAAAAAATTGCTCAATTGATTGCTCTGCGAACTTATTGACAGGTACATTCAATTAAATATTTCTTAAAAATCTTTCTCGAAGAATATGAAGAGGCACTGTGTCGAGGACTCTAAGTTCGCCCACGCGACTTGTGACCTTTCTGCAAAAATGCGAGCGAGTGACATCATTATTCTGGCATACTGCTAGCCGATACGACTGACCGGAGCTCTCGCACAGGGTTATGCGCTCGAGCCTCGCGTGTCTATAGGTACGTGTACACACGAGTGTCTTTTTACGAAAGAGAGAGGTCGTGTCCGCATGCATAAGCCCGCTCGATCTTGCCCGTGGCCTTTACGACGTGTAAATCACGAATCCGAGACGCCAACGATCCCTCGTCTCGTATACGACCGCGCTGTTAAAATGTCCTTCACGATTTTACGATGCAAACAGGGGTCTTTTCAGGATACGGTGAATTGAATCAAACGAGCCTGATTCTTTAACTTTAGAAGACGCTTAAGCGGCGCGCATACGAGCCGCAATTCCCCGGGGATGTGCAGTTTCAGTTGAAAGGGTGCGAATATGCATACGGAACGATCACTCAATAAGTAATACGGGGAAACCGCAGTAAACAGTTTACGTTCTTACGAAGAGTCGTAACGGATAAATCATTGCTTTCTTTTCCAAAACGCGCACAACAATTGGCAACATTCTGATCAACGCGAATTAATCTACTGTGTAAAGTAACATTAATCAATTATTCTAAAATATTCCTAAATTTGTACAATTATATATGTGCCAATACAGCTCATTAGTATATAAAATATTGAATAAAAGTTATTTATCAACTTAACGTAAAATCTTCCGAGCAAAAAATGATTAATTTAAAAAAGTGATTATTAATAATTATCTGCTCGAAAGAGAATGTCTGGAATAATATAATCCTCTCTAACTGAAATATTTTAAGGCACAAAATACTTTCGCCCAGCAAAACATATTTTTATAGACGAAGGCGCGAACGACGCGAGAAAAAGCGAGCAACGCGAGAGACCTCGAGGGTGAGTGGCGAGACGAACACGAGGACGGGCTCAGGAGAAAGCATAGGGAAATAAAGCAAAACAACCCCGCGAGACGGGTAGACGGTGGCAGGACGTAAGCGTGCTGCGGTAGCCTCGAATCCTTTCGCGGCAAAAGGCGATTACGTCAAATCATCCCGTGCAACGATTCGCGCAGCGATTGCCGCAGTTCGTGCACGACCGCGGCCAAAGATGTGTGACTCGTATGTGAGAAAAATTGCCATGGACTTCTTAGCTTTTAAATTCTTCCAAGACCTAGAGCTAATCCCGACTCGGTTCCATAAAGCTCCTTTATGGCCGTGCATTATCTTAAAAGCCGGATATCTCCCACAAATGTCTCAAAACGCGAAACGAATTAATATCTCGACGGTGGTTTAAAAGATCTTTCATTCGCTACTGCGCTATAAAGTTTTAGATAAGCTTCGGGGAGATTTTGTTTCGCAGACAGAAAGGCTGGATTACCGGATTACGACTTAAAGTCATAACCGCTTTAAAATTTAAATTTAATCTTGAAGAAAATATCTATTGTGGATAATAAATGCAATAGACATCTTATCACATTCCACATAAGAGTAATATAAGCAGTTTGTATGTAAAAAAAATTGAAAATACTTTCTATCTTGAAAGGGAGATCTCATAAAATAATATCGCATTATGAAATAATGAATACATCGTGAATGTTTTCGAATTAATCAGAGGGGCGAGGATACCGTCTCGTTTGAGTGAAACTGTGGAAGGAAGATTTCGACGATTTTAATCTCTCCTGATGTCCCGCTTCGCTCATCCCCCACTTTCTCCCTCTTCCTCAAGTCGTAAGCCTCTCCCTCCCCTCACGCGACTTTTTCTTTAATCTTCTTCTTTTTCTTCGCCCTCCCGCTCCTCTCTTCCTCTTTTTTACTTCCTCCCCCTTCCTCTTCCCTCCTTCTTTTTGCCCATGTCTTCCGAATGCTATTACATGCGGTTGCTACCGCGGAGAGCACAACTACTGATCAGCTCTACCCAGAAGATGTGGAACGGGAGGAACTTACAATTAGGCAATTTAAATCAACCGTTCCGATCCCCACGGTGACGCCAATTACCATATTTCATATTACCCACGGACGAAGGAATAAAGGAGGCTACACACGGCTCTACACCACGCTGGATTATGAAATAAATCTTCGCGCGCGGTGCGCGCATGCGGCAGAAATATCTCCTGTTGCGGAAAATAAATCTATCGTCATTAACTGGATTACAGAGAATTATCACGAGGCGATTATATCAGATACGCGAAAGACCTATTCGCAAGCCCTCGTGATATCTACAGAATGCGGCCTACCTACAGAATGCGAAACCACAACACAAATGGGGCGAAGATTTATGTTACAAGCCCAGTTTTATTTTTTAATAAAAAATTATTTTTTTCTAGTTATATCACGATTTCGTCTGTATTCTATGTATTCTATTAACTTATACAGTTGTACTCGCTTTTTCTTAACACTATGCTTAAAATCGTTAACGCAAGCAATGACTTGATACATACGATAAACAAGTCTTAGCTAAACAAAAAATTGCTTGCCGCTTCTAATGAGATTTTGATTAACGCAAAACGCACATCTAACAAATTGAGAATTAGCCGTGTTTGCAGGTGACAGCGCATAGATTGGCACGGATTAGTAAATGCGCGCGAACCGTTGACAAAACAGCCTGAGCTTTCGTCGGAGGGGGACCTTGACATCCGCTGGTTATCAGCTTTACTCGGCGCATCGCTATATCTGCGCTACGGCAGGACACGCCAACGCCATAGTGATGGGATTGATCGAGGTGTTTACAAAACAACTTAGCGTTCAAATATTTTAAATTTTTTTTAAGATTAATTCGCTCTGATACGTTAAATGCTTCTAAATATTTCACAAACTAAAACGACAGAAATCATCCCAAGTGTAAAGGAATTGAGAACAAAATAATTTGTTAAGGAAATTATTAACATGTAGTCGGTGGATGAAATAAATGTAAGGTTTTTTCGTAGATTGTTAGGGATCTAATGACAAGTTCCGGAAAGATGCTATAAAATACTTCGTCCCATTGCTATGACTGCGCTTGCACGCGAGAAAAGTGGTTGCGCACGCTATCGTACTATGTCTTACTGTACTGTACATTACCGCATCGTACGGTAGAAGCGACGCCGAGCACAGCATACGATGAGAAGAACAGGATGGACGAGGATAACGTAGGAGTCAGAAGGAGAGAGCAACACAACGTGCGCGGTTTTGCCTCTTTTGCCAGTTCTGCCTTTTTTTTTCGTCCTCTCTTCTTCGCCTCTCCTGCTCTTCGCTGGTCCAGGGATGTATCATTAATCGACGATGAGCAAAGATCGTTGCGTCGTGTTGTGTGTATACACTATATCTTGATAATTTCACGCAATCTGTAAAATAAAATAATAATAAAATATCGATTCTGAATTTTGCTCTGAAGAAAATATATCAAAAATATTGTCAAAGTTGTCAAAAATTGTTTTATTCTAAATAGATGCGTGATTCGATTTTCGATCCAACTGCTTTATTTTTTATGTGATGTCAAATGTTCAGTGCATAATAACAAATGTTACTTCTGTAGAACAAAAGAGGATTAAACTTGAAGAGTATCCTATAAATTGTGTTACTTAGAAGTCACTGAACTACCGCAGCAGTAGCACTAGTAAACAGTAGCGTAAATAAAGGATGCGAATAGTGATTACAATACGTGTTCAGTTTTCTAGAGATAAGGAATTATCAAATCAAACGATACGATACTATCAAGCAGTATCGAGGAAATTTAACGTGATCCACATTTAGCTAGCAACAATATAAATTTGATGAACATTATCTCCTAGAAAGTAATAATATTTTTTATACGTATTAGTACATATTCGGTTCGCATAGCATTTTGCAGTGTCCTGAAGAAAAAGTCTGCAATAAATTTCAACTCTTTTGAAATTAATGTCATTTCCAGTTCCGTAAGTTTACGATATTGTATCTTCGGGCGTGATTTCTCTTAGTCAATTTCCGAGAAGCGTCGCCGTTAATACGAACTGTAGATGATGCACGAGGCACGACAGCTTCCACCTTACATCCCTGCCACCTCCTCCCTTCATCCATCCTCGCCTCTTCTTTGTGCACTCCCTCATTCCCTTCTGCATCGCCCCGAAGGGCCGATCTTCTCGTCTTTTTCCCCTTCGGGCCCCTCTCGTTCGGTTTGCTCGCTTTGTACAGCGTCACGGCTACTTTTGTTGCTCATCGCACTGCTTCTTTTTCTCTTGCTGCGTCCTCCCCCTTTCACCCTCCTTCCCTCCTTCACTTCTCTCTCTTTGTCCCTCCGGCTGCGCTCGGTTTCTCTTCGCTCCAAGATTTGTTCCTCCTTTTTCTTCTTCTCCTTCTTGCCTGCCCTTCGTTCCCCGCTCCAAACTGGTCCACTTGCTTCTTTTGTTTTCGTCGAGTGAACGAGACGCCGAGAACGACGGAGAGTGCGCGCGAAAGAGAGATAGACGAAATAAGAGAGAGAGAAATTACGAGCGAAGGGGGAAAGCGTTGCAACGACGGAGAGGAGTTTCGAAAGAGAGAAAGAAGAGAAGCACACTTGAGCGAAGCGTGTCCCGACACGCGAGATGCAGGATCGAATTCGACCGTCGGATCCGGATCCACGAAATTCACGATCTCTTGGATCATTCTCATCTTGAAGTCTTCTCCTCCCCTTTCTTTGCCACTCTTCGTCAATGCCCTTTTCTCTCGTTTTTGTATCGATTTAATGTTAGCAGGAAAAAACATTGTCAAAACAAAAATACTATGACTCGTAAAATCTAGTTTCGCCGAAAAACGCATCGTTTTGATGCATTAATTATATTTGAAAAGGGATCTGCGAAATTACTATGCACTACAAGCGTGCATAACAGGAAGGGAGCAACGAGACCTGCGTGACTTAATGCGCGAAATGCTACTGAGACACGTGTGAATATGCGGCGGAAGTCGCTCGTTAAATATACGAATTTTCCTTTTTTTTATTCTTGTTTATCTTGCAAACTGCGCATCTATTTTTTTTCAACATTGTTACTTTTTCACAGAAACCTTCGCTCGAAGAAAGTTATTAAATCCGTTTTTACTTTTTCCCATTAAAAAGCTTCTTCGTATTACTTCTCGCGTTGCTGCTCTGAAATATGATATGTGGCGTAGTTGAGAACTTAATACAAGTTTCTTAACCACGCGTTCTTTCCCCAAGTGTGCACTGCGAGGCTTACAAAATACGAATATAGCAGCACGCGTAAAGCGAGATTCGATGAAGCTGTGAGTGGGCTGTGCGAAGACTTGTAGAAATGTGACGAAGGCGGGACAAGAAGAAAGAGCGGCCACTTATCTCGCAAACGCGTCGGCTTTCCATAGGGCAGCACGGATATGCACTCATAATTCTACGAGAGATCATCAATGTCATCGACGGCGGTCGAAGCCAGACAGCCGATCGAGAGAAAGTCAAAATGAACAATAGTTTCGTCGGATAAAAGCTCAGTGTATTCGTTGATTGTGAAAAAAGAAGGAATGATAAGAAGGTGACATGCTGAAGCACGTTTGAACTCGCGCGTGCACGCTGTTTCCGCGTAGAATACGAAGATAAAAGCACATAACAGTACGATTCTTTAAACGCAGCGAAATTGCAGACAGATTTTAACTGCTATACAATGTATAGCATACAAATATAAAAAAATATATGACTGAGATCTCTGATTAGTTGCAATATTTCGCTTTTAAAAGTTTGAATAGTCTTCAATAAAATGCATTCGCAATATGAGCGCTGAGTTTCAAGATGCTTTTATATGTCGTTTCATTTTCTGATTTATTTCTTAGAGACAGTTGATTTACTACTCTATATACTCACTCTTTCATATTATTCTCAATAGCGTTTCACGCTCGTTTCCATACAATCCATGCAAAGGTGCCTAACATCAGGTTCTTCGCCGTCTTCGAAATAGTAAAAGCGAGCATTACGCTTGCGGACATGTGGTAATTTACAGCTGGTGTGTATGAGGCATGTATAGTTCATAAACAGCAGGTTTCTTTATGCCGCTCTCCTCTCGGCATACAGGTATTTACTCCTCGCTGCCCTCGGTCTAACGTCTTTTTCCAATTTTTGCGCAATCAGCAGGGGCCGCTTTTTATCCTTGTTGTACTTCATCTTTTTTCGCGTGTCCTCTTTTGTGCGCCGAGATACACAGTCCTACACAAGAAAATTAAATTCTGTACAACATAAAAATAGCTCATAAAATATTATTTGTCGTCAAATATTTTCCTATGCAAAATTAAAAATTTTTATAAAATATCTTTACTTTTGTACACGCTAACAGTATATAACATTTTTATTTAGGGTGGTTATTTTCAATATTAACCCTTTAATCATATAACATTTATGATAATTTAATTCAATATTAGCATTCTTTGTGAAAGGACGATGTTCAAACTATTGACTTTCTCGTCCGTTCGTAGAAAGAAAAAGTGGACCGCGTAGTTCAGAAGTCATCACACGCGGTCATCTTCGGTATACATGCTTGCTCGCGCACAGGCATGCATACACAGCGTTTCTTTTCTTTCTCTTTCTCGGTCGTTATTATTATTCCAGCGGTAATCCGCTTCGAATCCTGACATAAACGATCGATTTGTTCTTGTTGCGTTACTCTGTGTATCCATTTGCGTTTCTCATTTTTCATCTCCCTTTCGACTCGCCTTTGCAAGGTGTTCATTATGCGTCTTGCAATTTTTGTGACATAATTAGCTCGTTTCGATTCCGATTTACTTATCTATGAAATCGTCTCATGTCTTACGTCTTATATCTCCTTTTTCATTTTTACATGAATTATTGTTGGATTGTATTTAATTCCGTTAATGCGCGCTTCCGCGGTATAATAAAAATGTATTTTATCTGTCACGATCTACAATTCATGTAGCCCGTCGAAACGAATCGTAAACGCTCACAATCTTTCCCGACGCACGTATCGCAGTTTCCTGTTGCATAAGCCCATCTATGAATAAAAACCTGAATAGGTATGCGAGTATGTGGGGCGCGATAAAATCGTGCCCGAGAAATCGATAACTAGATTAAAAGCTTGATCTGACAAAATTTGACAATAAAATTCTAAATAGGGGACACTAAACAGTCAGAACGCAGATATTATCATTATTAAAAATGTGTGGCAATGATCCATAATATTGACATTCTGATAGCACAAGAATCATTTTCCAAAGAAATCATATTTATCTCTCTGTATATCTTTGTATTAAAATTTATATAAAAAAAAATGCAGTACTTGTCTCGGTTAAAACAGACTAGGAAATTGTCGATACAGATTTTCAGATTAACATAAAACTTTTTGATAACGAGATAAAGTTTTGCAAGACATCGTGCGTAAACTTTTACAGAAAAAATTCTTGTCCGCTTACGCTTATGGAAGTTACATGGTATCTTTACGGAGATTATCATAAATTTCAAACTGTTAAATATTAAAATCTCATTGAATTTAAAATCTTTAAGATGAATGTAATGATGCGTGATGTGTGTCATTCTCAGAATAGTAAAAATATACGTTTTATTATTTGAATTAAATAAAAAAATTAATTTCGATAAACGTATAATTTCAATCAATGTCAAGACATTATTTTCTTCCTTCAAACGAATTATAATACCTCTTATGTATCATAATGGATGCATTTTCCCTGATCTGACTTTAAGCGGTGACCACATACCGTGCTTGTACCCTCTCGTTTGAGCCTCGCTGATGGCTTATCAGTCCGTATCTTGTACAAACACGTTCCACCTGGTCTCGGACAGTCACGGCCCACGCCATTTTCTACTGGCGCTGCCCACGTTGTTTCGTAACGTTTCACGAGACCACTTTATCTCATACGCTCCGTCTTTCATCTTGCCTTCTCCCTTCCCTCTCTGTCGATAGATGGGCCCGATGCTTCTGTACACTGGTAACCGGGAGCCGATACCGGTGTAATTTCGGTGAAGGCAACTTTTTACGCGAGTTGATATGAGCCCCATTTCTGCTGTTATATTTATACCGAGCAATTTATCTTACTACCATAATCCATGAAAACAACATTCTATCAAATCTTTCACGAAGCTTTGAGGCTACAAATAAACGTGTCCTTTTTATTTTCATACAATAGATTTCATCGAGCGAGTTAAAGAAACTCAGGTAATTTTTTTTGGGGATAGAAAGAGTCACTGATTACAGTGTTCCCAATACAGACTTTTTTCGCTGGCCTAATTTAGGTTTCAAATCGAGCAGAAAATTTTATTTCAACGATGATGATAGATGTCTATCGAATTGAGTAACTGATTATAGTATTTTTAGCTGATTAGCTCGCACCATCTTTTTGATTGTAAAATTCGCGCAAAATTTATCAAGTTGTTTCAGACCTATAAGTTTTTTAAATTTTGATTTCAAGTATACTTTACCGAGCCCATCGACGATGCAGGCTCAATAATTAAAAATTTTGTTTACATATAATGAATAATAATAATATTGTCTATAATAATAATTTTAAAAGTACTTAACAAAGGTTTCACACGTGAAACATCCGTTTTAGCCAGTTTCTCAACAGTCAGGATTAGTGCTAATCTTTTCATTGCAGTAGGCTTCTACAAATCCTTTTTCATCCGGCGTCCCCGAGGTAAGATGATCGGGTTATTTTGTATGTGGGGAATTTCGTCTGTAAAACGAACCATGTCCGTAATCCGGGCTTACGGCCTACGAGATGCCTCTGGACGTGCTTTAATATGATTTAAACCCACCGCCGTGCTGGCTACCGTGTTACGATCGTTCGGACTTCTCTCGTCGGGCTTTCTCTGTCGTGGGTCATCCGTGCGGTAGCAGTCCTTGAAGAGAGGCCTGAAAACAGAAGAGAGAGAAAGAGAGAGCGAGAGAGAATCGAAAGATACCTACACGCGTGCGTACACGCAAGAAAGTGGCGTAAAATACGCAGGCGAGGCACGAGTTTTTACCGGCACTTAGCCGACCGATCGCCTTTAAATTTTATGCGTTACCCTCTTCGTAAAGGAAACGAAAGCACCGTTGTAACATCAAAAATTAATTCGCAGTTAAATATTAAGTACAAATGTTGTTTACGCCAAGAACTTATTGGCAAAAATATTAAACCAACAATAAGAATATACAACTGAATGTTGTTCAATCTATTAAATTCGATACTTTTTTCTAAAATATATTTGAATAATTTGAATGATATTTTGAGATAAATATTAGGAAATTTAAATTTAAATTCATGCAACGTTTACTGCCAAGATGAATCTTTCCGGAATCTTATCTGAGCGAAATAAAAAAAAATGTAACATTGCGCGTTGCGTACGTCGGCGTCTCGTTTGAAGCGATTCGCCGAGACGAGAGGAAGATCCGCAGTTACGAGGACAGTCGGCATTGTGCACCTCGTTTCTGGTCCTTCGTCCTCCGCTCGTAACCCGTCCGTTCCCTCGTCCCCCTGGTCGCTTTGAGGAAGCCGCCACGGTGCAAGAGAGCGGGCACGAGGCAACGCACACACCAGGTACCTCACTGCGGGGCCTACGCCACGGCAAAAGTGACAAGGCCCTGGCAATTATAACGGATGGCGCAAAAAAATGGCGCCGCGGTACGGATGGTCGGTTGGGCCGACCGGCCGAGTTGGCTACCGTTTCTCTTCCCCTTTCGCCGACAACCTTTAAGCGTGTATCAGGGAACCCCGATGATTAATCGCGGGTATCACGGCGAATCTCGACTGCCGTTTCGTAGACGCCCGAATTTGTTCGGCAGCAAGATGAAGTAACAACATATACCACTTTGCGCTAGTAAATGAATGCATTAAACTTATACATATACATTCAACAGAAATACAAGTCAGAGAGCAATTAATAATTTTCATATTAATATTTTGGTATAGTATATAAATCATGAAATATCTATTAGATTGATTTATTTCAATATAATTACTTTTAGTATTAATAAGTTATATATTTTTTTTGAACAAATAATAACTCGCATGAGAACAAAATAACAATTATTTTATTGCATGGATTGGGCTTTAAATATAATTAATTTGTACTTTTAAAGAAATTCTTCGCTACTGTACCTGTACTGTACTGTGAGTAAGTGGCCAAGACATAATCATAATGAAGAAACAAAGTTCGTGTCCTTATCGCTGAATCATGAATGCGAATCAATTATGCGCAGTAAATATATCCGAAATTCAAGCCTGTAATCAGCGCAAGCAGCACGGGCCGGCCCTAAAGCCTTTAATTACAAAATCACCATTTAACCATCCTGTTGATCAACTTGCTTTTTGGCTTCTGTGAAATTTCAAAGATGTTGTAAATAATAAGAGATAACTTTGTGACACAGAGTAGTAATTTAATCATTGTGCAGTGTCATTAATTAGTTCTTGCATAATAAAATAAAGAATATTGTAAAATTAGATTAGACAACATTAAATAATGTAAGCAGTTTATAGCAAACTTTTTTTGTATTTATTAATTTTAAATGTGTATATGTATATTGCACATATGCATAACCTACATTTTAGCATATCTATATCTACAATATATATTATACACACATACACACACACACACATATATATATATATATATATATTTAGCGTGTTAAAATATGTATTATATGAATTTATATAAAATGTTTAATTTTTTATTATAAATTTATACACATATTTTATATTAAAAATTTAAGGATTTGTTCTAACCTATTGTTTTATCCCGTATTATATACATACATATAAATATACGTCAATATATTGCTGATATATGCAAGATTATTAAAATATTTACATAGTAAACCTAAATTTGCTTGAGTTCACTCATCAAAGTTTAATAAAATGAGATATTACACAATTAAATTTTAAGTACTTTTTGTTGCATCTATAAATTATACTCACAATCAAGCATTATTTTGATCATGGTGCACCATCTAGTGCAGCAATCACGAAAACGTTATGGTATTTTGATCAAGAACTTAAGAGATAACTCAACAGATGACTCTTACTGCCTTAGAACGTACTTTCTAACCTTTCCAATTTAGTGGATAAGATTTTACCAAATGTTAATAAAGACTGATGTAATGAATAAAATGCAATTTTTAATGTAAAATTTACACTAAAACTCTTACTAAAATTATATATACGCAATAAAATTTGAGAGCAACAATGTTCATTGTGTATCGTTTTAAATCGATATTACCTATTTACTTTCCTCGATAAACCGCATGTACGAGTACAAACAATATTGGGAAAGGAAAAAGGAATGTGACCTTTCAAATAAACGTTGAAGACGTTCATTTCAACTTTCCTACATCAGCGAGAACCAAAGTAGACCAAAGCAAGGACGGTTACTACGACAGTCACTACCTTGTCAAAAACGCAATTTTTTTTGTTTAATTAAATAAAAATTTAAAATTTTTTTTATAAAAATATAAATATTATAATATTATAATTTTTATTGTTCCAAAATTATTAGATATTATCGTTGATATATCAGAATTAATCTTGACATAAGCATGTGCTTGTTAATGTCGTACATTATGGCTGCACAATGTTGATTGCTTTCCCGCCCAATTTCTCAGCAGCATCAGGTCTGTTCTTTATAGCTGAACTGGCTGCATTAGTTCAGAGTTTATCTTTCTTCTTCCAATGTGGAAGGAAGAAGATAAACTCTGAACTAGTGCAGCCAGTTCAGCTATAAAGAACAGACTTAAGAACAGACCTAATAGAGAGACACAAATATCAGTGGATGACATTTACAGATTTCACAAGTCGTAGATTGATAAACACTCGACAACAGCATACAGTATCACTATGATATAATGGAAGAGAATTATAAGAAACGATTCAAGATTACAAACGAATCAAATCTTTCAGATATTGCAGATTCTATTGGTAAGTTATATATAAATTTTTTCTTGCATCAATTTTCTGTGAATTTGTTACTAGAAGAAAGAAAAATATAAGATAAATTTAGAAAGAACTATTGTATCATATCTTGTAGATTACTAAAGAATTTATTATTAAGAATTTAGAACTATGTGGTACACTATTAAAAGGCATAGTTTTATATACTAAAATATAACCTTTCTTTTTTCAGATCACATAGCTCAGTCTATTGAGTCCATAAGCGAGGTCCATAGGAACATATTAAGAATTAACAGGGCCGTTGTCACATATCTGAATAAAACTGAAAAACTTCAAAAGGAAAGTTTGCACAAGACGAAAGAATAAGAACGTATCTATAATATATCCATAAGGAGCGATAATTGGTACAATTGTATTTGTCCAACATTATTTGTTTAAAATTAAGAACTTTATTTATTAATATGACGAATTTTGATATAAATACTTATAATTATAGGTATAATTAACAAACATATGTCTTACAATTAATGTTTTAGATGTTATATCATGAATTTATTGTCATGTCTATCATATGTGATAGATTGAATCAAATAATGACCAATTTTTGTAGTCATTGTGACAATGAATTTTACATGACATAAATAACATTGTCAAGTATTTATAGCCTGTATAGAACTTGATGTTTTTGCAATGTTGGGACAACGTCCAAATATTCACAGAAAGTGATGTTAAAAAGTCGACATTTTATGTACTACTTATGTACTTAATCTGAAAATTTAAATGTTATATGGAAGTCATACAATGTTTCACCGTGTTTCAGCATTGAATAAACGTTCATATAATGTTGTGAACAACGTTGTGTAAACTTTTTGTTTTATACAGGAAATGATTATTTTTTTACTATATCACAATATTACTTGACCTTATCTAAACATCATACATAATAGTTTAACAAGACGATACCTTGAAACTAGGAAAGCTAATATCATTCTATAATTTAAAAGTAAAAAGATCAAATGTAATGTTATGAATGCAGTATTGTTTTTTTACTTTTTAAACTGCAGAGTAGCATTACTTGTTACTGTTTTATGCAAACGCATCAATTTGAAAGTTACAGATTTCACAATGTATTTGACATTTTAAGTGAAATTGCAACAACTCAAGGAATAAGATTTGTTGTTCCAGTTTCAAGGCATCAATTAATGAAAGTTTCGCCTATGTAACAAAAAAACTAGCACAGTGACTGTGGATAGGTTTTAGCAGTCTTGTAATTTGTGTGTCCTTGTCTAAATCCTTGTCACTTGTATTCTGGATCCTCCTTGGGTTTTCTTCTTGGATCCGATGGGTCCAATGGGACTATTACAGGCGGTACATTTGCTGGTCGACGGTTAGAGAAATTATAATTAGAACCTTTTGTGGTTGTAAATCTGTTCATTGGCCTAGACATTATCGGTCCACAACTGAAACACATTTGCGCAATTAAGTACAAATAATTGTGAATTAAATACCGTAATTTTATGTCAAATTATGTAAACCAAAGGATATAAAACGTTTATACATATACAGATTTTTATAAAGTTCTAGCGTTTTAGCATTATTAAATAAGCCTTTAAAGTTGCAGTTGTTAGTAAGATGCAAACATTCCACCTTTGATGTTATACTATAGATGTTAGTTAAGCATTTATATCATATAAGCAGAAGGAAGTCTTTGTTTTGCTGTTGTGCATTATCTTGTTCGATGAAAAACGTCAAACAGAATAGAGAGGAAAACTGGAAATAATTTTGCTCGCATACAAATATTGAACAAAACATGAAAGAGAGTACAATAGAAGATGTGATATAGATTCAGGTGTGGAACACAAGAGTAATACTTGCAAAAACTCGCACAAAACGAAGCCGGCCGAAATGAGTAATACTTCGGTGAATAGATCGGTGCGTTCGTGCTTAGCTTACAAGTCGTGATTAAGTAGAGTGCAGTAAGAAAGACGTCTTATTCCTCTAGCAGATTCCCCTATTCTGTCCGTTCACACCTGCACGTGTTGTGATTGAAGTAGTATCCGGTGCTACACGGCTCGACGATCTTGCACGAGCAGGCGCAGAGTTCTGAGTTCCAAATCTTCGTATCATTGCCTTTTCGGCACTTTTCCGCCTCGTCGATGTTGTTGCAGACGCATTTGCAGCCGTTTGCCTCGTAATACTGCTTATCGTTGCAATGCTAAAACACATAAAGTGACATGGTATGAATCATCAGCGAAAAGAATGTCAACAATGAGCACGTGCTTAGATAAAATTAAATTTTGCTCTTCCACATTGACACACTTTACGCGCGTTTGTGCGTTGCAAGGAAGCGGCAATTGTAGTAATACGTAATTGGCAAATTTGGTTCACTGAGAAACCACCGAACATTTAATCTGATTGTGAATTAAAGATTGTACTGTGTGCTAAGTATTATAAATGTTTTAATATTTACTAAATGCATTTTAAAATTCAAAAATTTTTTACATCTTTCAGATTCTTATATCCGCGATTACATAATATCTCATAATTAAAACGGCAATCTTATACTATATGCGTGAAAGATAAATAAAATAAAACTGCATATGTTGGAGGATGATTCATGCTTCTGGATCGCTTATCACTTCTATTTCTACTAGGTGCGCAACTAAGTTTCCGGGTTTTTTTTATCAATGCAATATGGAAAATTTCAAGAGAAATACAAAAAACGGTTTATTCAAAATATCGTCCCTCGCTAGCTACACATTTTTGCCATCTCTCTGGCAATACATGAATACCGCGACGATAAAACGACGCGTCTTTGAATCGAAACCATTCATCCAACCAATTCTGCACTTCTTCGAAATTGGCCAAGTGTAGCCCAGCCAAGCCATGCGCCATCGACCGGAACAA